AAGCCGCCTGGAGTGCGTTGCCGTATCTTCCACCCTGCGCGTTGACGTCGGCGCCCTTGTCAAGCAGCAGCTTCACCACCTGCTCGTGGCTTCCTTCTGAAGCCGCCTGGAGTGCGTTGCCGTATTCTCCACCCTGCGCGTTAACGTCGGCGCCTTTGTCAAGCAGCAGCTTCACCACCTGCTCGTGGCCTCTAGATAAAGCCGCCTGGAGTGCGTGGCCGCATACTCCACCCTGCGCGTTAACGTCGGCGCCCTTGTCAAGCAGCAGCTTCACCACCTGCTCGTGGCCTCCAGATGAAGCCGCCTGGAGTGCGTTGCCGTATACTCCACCCTGCGCGTTGACGTCGGCGCCCTTGTCAAGCAGCAGCTTCACTATTCTTTGATGTCCATGTTCCGCCGCAAGATATAGGAGAGTCTGGCCGTTGCTATCTCTTCGTTCTAACACGAGTGCTGTCTCTCTTACTTGGTTTTGGAGAAGTTCCTCCAATACAATTGGTAATCCGAATCGTGCTGTAAGATGCCATCCCGTGCTGTCCTTGGGGTAGCCCTGGCTATACTTCTGATACGTGTATTTTGGACGTAAGAGTACCTGCGCAGCGCACGAAACCAATTCTTTGTGGGAAAGAAATGAGCAGGCTAGCTCATATATCTGATCTTCCACTGTTACCGCATGCTGTCCCCAGTGCTTGGCAGCATAGTCTAAGAATTGGCTTTCCTTCAGCCTCTCTTCAAATTCTTTGTTAGAGGAGCAGCTCCCAGTTTTAAATATGCTGAATGACAAGTAGGTGAGGCATGTAAAGGCAATGTGTAGTTGAGCGCCTGGATCCTATGCATCTCGAATACGTTCGAAGTATTCTTGGGTGGTGTAATGCACAAGACGGATGACAGCACTTTCCTGATCAACAACGACCAGTCCAGCACACACGGATAATAGATCCTCGACATCAGGTATGTTCTCAGGATCGAGCTTTGTCTCGTCCGGTTCTACTGCCAGAGCACAGCACATCTCCGTCGTGGTAAGCGGTCTTTTCGCATACGTGATCCACGACAGTACTTTTTTGGCCAGTACGTAATCTCCGCTTAACTGTCCTTGTATGCGTTGGATAGCTTCCTTGTATGCGTCGTCGAGTGCGGCTGAGCTTTTAGAGAGCTTAGCTAGCGTTAACTTTACGTCCTTTGCTGTTCTCTTGTCTAGCAGCGAATCGGTGTGGAGGCGAGCAAGGAGAAACCTAAGAACGTGTAAGTCTGCGTTATATTACAAGTTGGCTAGGAAGAGCATACATGCCGTCTACCGCCTCCACGATCTTTTCCTGGACAATCTCCTGCAGCGCAGGGTCATGCTGAATACATCTTGGCAGTCGGTATGATTGGCCAGCCACGAATCGCTTCACATCCTCTCTGCTTGCCTGCACCTCCAGCCTCAGCGCCTCGTTAAACCCGTCCGTAATCTCTGGAATAAATCGCGAGGTGGCCATAAGGCGAACGTCCCGTACCGCCTGGAGATCGCGGAGTTTGGCCAGAAATTGGCACCGAGTGCCGTCACTGTCTTGACATTCATCTAGAGCATCGACCACAATATGGATAGTAGAGTAATGTGCAAGTACATCTTGGAGTGCGCTGAAGACCTCATCAGGCGATGGCCTGGTTCCTCTGTTAGCATGCTGTTTGTGCAACCGTTCCACAGGCCCCACTAGCGATGGTCGAGCCTGAACCAGCTGCTTGAGGATAGCTGCCAACATCCTAGAAACATCCTGCTCCTCCCGAGCCTTGTAGTTGCAGTACACATAAGCAACTCCATGTGAGCTGCTGTGCACTAATGTCAACAGATGGTCAATCGCGATGGCCGCTACCATAGTTTTTCCGGCTCCCGGAATTCCTGGGCAGAAGAGTGTTGCCTGGGGTACACTAAGCCACGTGGTCACCTGAGGCGCATCTAGAAACCACTGGCCTGTTCCCTCCTGTCTGCGCTTTATAATGTCGGATTGTTGGGCGGGATAGTCGGTAGGCGATATCCATTCTAGAAGCCGGCGGTGCTCTACGTTGTCTCCGTGTGTCCGAACGGAGTTGAGGTCGTATTTAATAGCGTGAGTGTCGTCTTTTATAGTTTAAGTGTCGTCTTTTATGGCTTAAGAGAGCTTGCTTGTACACACAAGTAGTGCTGTTCTATAGTCCTGGCATAAAGCTTACAAGTGGTCTCTCTGTAAAGCGATCTCAACTAGCGTCTTCAACCGCTCGATTTGGCCTAATATGCTGGCTATCTCCTCTTTCTTAAACTTCCACACGAGCATATCGCCAGCCTTCTTTATTCGACCTCTACCTATCATCTTAGTCTGCAGCATTTCCAGCGCTTGCTTGAACTGGTCGAGCGGCCCGTTTTCGACTGCGAGGGCTCGGACGGCGGTGTGCCACGGCGTGTTGGCGTTTCCTTCCTCCAGGTGGAACCTTAGATTAAGAAGGAGACTGTGCAAGTTCGAGACCTCAACAGCGCACGTTGCGCGCTCTCTTGAGGCATCTTTGACGTCGGTCAGATATCCGACAATCTTGTTTGAGAGCTGAAGGATAGCGATAATGCTAGCTGTAACACTAAGAGGGTCCATGTAGGAAGACGGCGACAAAAATAGCAGATGCTTCTGAAGGAGCAGTGAAGTGAGAGGACGGCGACATTGTGTAGGCAGAGAAGCTGAAGGGACAGCGTCAGGCTGAGCGGATGCAGCCGCAGCAAGGCTGAACAGGTGCATGCGGTCTGGATTCTGCTGCCCCACACCTTATCGATAAGGCTGATTGTGGTGTCCTCAGCGTTTGTCCACTGGTGAGGTCGTGATAGCTTCTTGGGCTGATGCATTTCCATTATCTATGGGATGATTTGTCGTGATAATCATCTGTCCATCAGTGAGATCGATGATGCGGCGGTGGCTACCTACAATTCCTCTTCATCTATCTATCTCTCTATCTATGCATCGACTCTATACCTTTGCCACTACTAAACGCTATAGAGAAAACTATTTGCATTTAAGCGTAATACAAAAATGTTAGGTAATATTATAGAAGCGTTAGAGGAGGTTTAACAAGCGCTTTATAATGCTATATATAAATATATATACAAGTCCGCCGCTATTAATATAGAATATAACTTAAACAAGATAAATTATTTCTATCTATCTATCTACCTACCTACCTATCTATCTATCTACATATTAACTTTAGACCTTTAATAATAAGTTAGATGTAAAGATAAATTAAATAACCCTAATCTACTTCTATATAAACCCTAAATGCTCTCTCTATATTCACTAATAAAGAGAGTTGCTATATTCTTATTTATAGCTGTATAAATTACTTTAAATATTAGCTACAGCAGCACGGCTCTAATAAACTCGCTATTGGAATTCAATACCTTAAAACTAGTGGAAGCTTTTTTTATATACCTCTTTATTTTCATTTTCCTATATTTTTTTTCCATAAGTACAGTATAGAAATAGTACTAGAGCAGAAGGCACCTAGTCCCCACTATTATATTAATTCTTACCTCTTAAGTATCTATTAGTATAAAAGCAAGTAGAATTAATATATATAAACTAAAGCTTTCATATTATACCTATACTTTTATGCAGCTAGCTTATCTAATACATATAAACGAAGCCGCTTATATTAATATCTAATTGCGTCCTATCTAACTAGAATGCTTGGAAAATATATATAGTAAGATAGAAAAGGACCAGGTCTTTAAATAGCTTAATATATATGTAAAGGTTGTATAGGAAGGATCAACAGATAGAGCGGTAGCAGGATAGAAGTTAAATTGATTGAATTAGATATCGTTCCATCTTATAGAGGTTGGGCCTCTATATACTCGAATATATAAGTACTAGAAGTTTTTCTATGCTTATTAAAAGCATAGTTTGTAATGCTTATATAAACTAGCATATTCTAGATACTTCCATGTATTACAAATACAGTTTAATTTATAAGAGAATCTTCCACAAGATTCCATCTGGTTCCATCTAATTCTAGATAGTTCTAGAAGCTTAGAAATATAGCGCTTACTATATTCTAACAATATATATCTAAGTCTTTAATATAAGTTAAATAGATTCTGTGCTTTAAGAAAAATTGCTAAGGTTACATTTAAAGGTATAGAATCTAGTAAATCTATTTTAAAAATGTATATTAACTTTAAGCGCAGATATAGGTAGTGTATTAAGTTAATTATCTTAAACATGCTTGTTTTATATAACACAGCTTAGCATTTTACATTCCAATACTAAAAGTTCTAAGCTTAGCTAGGGTATACTTACTTTTTATATTCTCTTACAACTATATAAGCGACTAGACAATCCCTTATAATATATAGTATATAAGATTAAAGAGTTATTAAAAGAATCTAGATAAACTAAGATAGATAGATAGTTATCCTGCGATTAATGTTTACTTTTTTTTAAAAAGAAGTAATATAATAAATTATAATATATTTAACTCTACTACGCGTTCTTCTTATATATTTATTCTTAACCTATATTTTATACAAAAGTTTTAGTAGCATTAACTTCTCTAGATTGTATTTTATCTAGTTTAATATCATTTCTTTAATACTTAGGCCTAGTACGCTGGGTACTACCTTATAGACGGCAGTTGTTGTATCTCTACTAATGTGGCCTTTTATCTCTTCTTAAAGGGTAGATATTTTATTAGTAGTATAATAGATTTTTAGGAGCAAGATATCTCTTTGCTAAATATACTGAATCCAACCTAATTTTAAATATTATTATTCTGCTGCTGCTTGTACACCTCCTTTTAGACGTTACAATATTTGTCCCTTAATTATGCTTTCTTTATTCAAGTACATTAAGAAAGAGGAACTCCGCAAGCTTGCGAAATCCTAGGAAGATAAGAGGGGTTTCCTATTAATGCCTTTCCATCTTTATACTTTGGCTTATTCTTGTACTTTCGTTTCGTTGTTATTATTGTTGTTATAATAGTTAATAGCCTAAAGCGATTAATTGTATTAGATCTAAACTACAAATACACGCTGCCTATATACCTTGTTATCAAGAGAGTAATATAGTTATTTCTCCCTCTGCTTGTCTTGTGCCATGCGGCATCATCATACTACATCATCGTGCTGAGTGATATAGGAGACTCCGTAGAAGGCTTTACAAATTGGAAAGGATGCACGGCCAATCAAGTAGCTGTTCAAGCAGCTAGGTTATAAGAAAGCATCATTGGTGTACGGCTTGATGAATCGGATAGAATGGAATGGCCTAGCCAATTCTAGTAATAAAGTCAAGTTTAGAACAAGAACTAATTCTTAGAATAAGAACTGATTTGTAATTATACTTGTAAAGTAGAACCTGGTTCTATACTAGGTTCGTAACACAGGTAGCCTGCACAAGTCAGATAGGTTATACGAATCGGCATGGTAAATCGGACAGGGTGCGTTTGTTCGAATTGATGTGAAGAACGAGCCGAGCATTATAAGGTAGTTAATAAGAAGATATGTATACCTAGGGCGGGGCCCGTGGCAGTTGTATTTGTATTCTTCCGGTAGCCAGAGCCCTGTAGACGTCATTACAGCACTTGTTAATATATATGTGTCTCGTACACATAGATCGTCTTTTCCACTGCCTTACAGGCTCTGTTAAACATAAATAAAGCAGTAATCCACAATTCCCTTGTTCTAATTGAGATCTAACCATCCTTAGGTACTATATACACTTTTCTTATGCTTGTATACAATTGCCCAGCACCTCTTAAGACCCTACGGTATATCTTAAACAGCTATAAAATCTTAGTTGTGGCAACCCTAATAGCTCTCCGGGCCACTTCAGACGGTGTTGGGTTGCCTGGTTCCCACTTAATATTCAACGGTGCCTTCCTCTCATTACTTTACTACAGTTTTTACTTGATTTCTTACGTTTACTCAGATCTTTCTGTTTATGGGGCTACGATTTAGTTATAACGACTTAGCCCCCCGCTCGACCGGGGGGCTAAGACGTTAGTTTTCAATTAGATGGTACTCAGCCCACTAGATGTGCTTTGTCTAATCGACAGACAAGAATCTAACTATATATTCTCTGCTCTTATATACAAGTGACATGCGCTGTGTAGCGCTTCTTTCCGTGCACCAAGTAGGCCACGAAGGCTGAGACAACGACGGCAGCCTGCACTAATAATGCTCAACTGGCGGTGACTAGGACAGCTACCGGGAAGCACGCAAATACAATACCATCAATTGAGGTTCACTATGTCATAGATACGACGATGTAATAATTAAAGAGAGGTGTGCATATGACCCGTGTTTTTCTACACACCATACCAGAGCTGCCCATAGGCGTTCGAAAAAGAGCCTATAGAGAGAAACCCCAAGAAATAGACGCCAGTGCTCAAAGATGCCAATAGAGAGCCCATTATATCCCATTTTGAATGCTGGAGAGACATGAACAAAGGAGTTTCATCTACCGTATTGCAAGTCTTAGTTGTCCAGCCAATCCAAGAACTCTGGGGTGAAGTAGCTGACTACAATTGTAGCACCAGCCCTCAGAATTCCCTCAGTCGCTTCGAAAGCCATTTGTTTCAAATCAAACACACCCGCTTTGGCAGCTGCGTGGATCATGGCAAACTCTCCGGAGACCTGATAAGCCGCCACTGGTAGGTCCTTCCCAAGCTCCTTCGCGTCGCTAATGATATCCAGGTATTGGCTTGCAGGCTTCACCATAATAATATCAGCTCCCTCGTTGATATCACGAACGATGGCTCGTCTCGCAAGACCCCTTCCGCCCGGGGGTAGCTGGTAGCAGCGGCGGTCGCCAAAGGATGGGCACGAGCCCGCGGCGTCTCGGAACGGACCGTAGAGGCAGCCTGAGAACTTGGCAGCGTATGACATCAGCACAACCTGATGTGCAATGCCAGCTTCAATGAGCTTCAGCTTGATGGCACGAATACGACCGTCGTTCATGTCTGAGGGTGCGACGCAGTGGGCGCCAGCGTCTGCGTACGCCATGGCAACGTCGCTGATGCGGTCCACAGACAACGCATTGTTCAGGCTTCCGTCGTCCCGGAGGATACCACAGTGTCCGTGGGAGGTGTATTCACAAAGACAGACATCTGCGGTGATGAAGAGGTCGGGGAATGCTCGGCGGAGAACGCGAATGGCTTGTATGACGGGTCCCTCTGGGTCGTCGGCGGCTGTTCCCAGAGCGTCTTTGGCGCCGGGAGCAATGGGCACGCCGAAGAGGATAACGGATCGAAGGCCTTTGGCGACGAGAGGTGCGAGGTAGGGTACGAGGCGATTGAGGCCGCGACGGTACTGGTTCGGGAGAGAGGGAATGAGGGTCTCCTCCTCAGGCTGGTCGGATACAAACAGTGGGAAGATGAGCATAGACTATCATAGAGATGTCAGCTGGATCGCATTGCGCTCGGGAGCAATTCGAGTGTACCTTTGTGAGTTGCCGCTCGGCTTGCCATGATCGTGCAAGCGGGTGGCTATAGCCGCCATGCAATTGACTCGAGATGTCGCCGGAAATGCTGACGCTGGTGGCGGCGGTGCTGGCGTAGGACCGCGTGCGCGATACCTGTGAGCGGCGGTCGTCGCGATCCAAGTTCCGGTGCGTGAGATCTGAGACGAGCGAGGAGAACGACATGTTGGCAGTAGGGAGTCGCAGGGCTGGAGGTGCGCAGTCAAATATTATCCTGCGGGCGGATTCTTTCACCTGAAGCCGAGCAGAGGCCCGGGAAATATCTTGCCCGGAGGGGTCATCGCCCTCGGCCGTCCAGCCAATCACGGCCCGCTAGAATCAAAGCGGCCGAGAATCCCTTCAGGCATAGTGCCCTTTGAATCTCAACGACATTCGATGCTGCTGACCTCCATCACGACGATACCGCCGTCTGAGGCGGCCCCGCAAGCCTTCCACACTGTTCAAAACGGTTCATTTAATCTTCCGAAAATGGCTGAAGCAGGTCAGACAGCGCCAAACCAGTGTACCTATACAGATAAGTACGGCATTACAGTGCCTCGTCGTTGATTCATGTACACTCTTCTGCCACTGCTTATGTTGCTCCAACATGTTTATCGAAATCTGGAGCGACAAATAGCACAGTCAGCTATGTGCATTCATCAACCTCTGCCTGAGGTGGCCCTGTAAGCTTACTGGTTGTTCCAATTAACAAAGTTTGGGATTTCGAAAGTATATTGAGGAGCTTCAAGTAGCGGCAGACAAGTGTACACGGATCTGTGACGAGCTATTGTAGACTATTGGTATACGTGGGGTTTGACGCGTATATGACACGCCATGGGAGCTCCCCAGCGAGGTTCGCAGTTTCGAGACTCCCCCTGTATTTTGATATTGCTTCAGAGCACTTTAAGCAGGGGCACAGAGTGTCAACAGGTTGGTTTGCTGCCGTACTAGAGCATATCCAGAAGCTTCATTGCCAGTAAGTGCCAGCGTAAGTCATAGCATGGCAGGAAAACGACTTCTCCGAAATGGGGCCAAAGCAATTTCATGGTTATCAGAGCCATCCTCTCGTGTGAAAGCTGGTGTGTTTGGTGCTGCAATGCTTGATAGTAGAGGTGAACCGACGCGTAAGGCACGATACTCCGACAGTGACCTTCGAGGTAGGAAGGCGCCAAATGCCTCCGCACCGCGTAGGTATCTCATAGTCTCTACCCTCTCATCCCGTCTCCATCTTCTCATTACAACTCGAGTTCCGCAGTCCCTGATCCCATCTCTGTGCTTTGCGTGCTTCGCCATGACGGCTCCGAAGAAAACCCGCCGCTTTTTCCCGCGCTTCCTCGCGTCTAACGAGAACCGTGACAGTAGGTTCACCAAATCCACCTTCACCTCTGCCTTCAAGCAGCTCTCTAACCTTCACCTCCACCTCGTTTGCAGCTCGATTACTCCCCGTGACGTCGCTCTCCGCTCGCACCTCTTTAGAGAGCCGGCGGCCGCCTCCTCTCTCTTCCTCCACCAACCGCCGAAGGTCGAACACTCACGCTGCTGCTTTCACCCACAGCACGAGGGCAGACAACCAGGCGCTCTTCCAGCAAGCTAGCAGCATGGGCGACGACAAAGACCCTCCGCGTGTTAAGGGCCGAGCCGACCCTGCTACTGATTCACCGAAAGCACGCGAGGATGTACGACCATTACGCAAAAAGCGCTCGTGGTTTCAGCGAAGAACAGGAGAAGGTTCTAACATTCTCCAGACGGCGCCGCCGATCCCTCCGATTCCTGCCATGTACACCATGCCGTCAAACATCGGATCGTCTACTAGCGAGCCTCCCCAGCGCAAGCCGCCCGCGATCGAGGCCCTATCAGACAAGGCTTTACCGAGCATTCCACCCATCGAGTCTGATGAGCGATTTCAGCCGGATCGACCTGTTCCTCCAACGCCGGACCGTCTGCGGAAGCCCTCAATCGCGTCGTCTGCTACAAGCGACGATGCCCATCGTAAGAGTGGTCGCCAGCGACACAATACTAGCTTTGTTGACCCAAACATAGCGTACGAACAGTTTTCAGGCTCTGATTGTGCCGCAAATGAGAAATTGTTGTCGGACAGACAAGGCCTCAAGCAGACGCTCTCCAACCTCGACGTACCGCCGCCACAGCAGCGCAATGCATCAGCCCCATCCTCGAACTATCTCGCAGTCCCCCGAAGTTTATTCCCAAGCCACTCCTCAAACATGCTCGCGCGTCCACTTCAGACTGGCAATGGCTTCGATCCCCCGGACAATCGCATTACAGCCATGCCACGCGCATCCTCTACTGCAAACCTCTCGCGCAGTCTCATAGCTGGAATGAAGAATCTGCTCACAGGAACCAAGGACAAGGATAAGAGGAAGACAATGGCCATACCAGCAATCACTTCTCCCATGCCACCCCAGACGAGCCCTAAAGCTCAGCAGTTCTTCCATGGAACTCAGCCAAACCGTGTCAAGCATCTACCGTCTGAGTTTTCCGACGACGAAGACGATGAGGACTACCACAACATGGCATCGTCGCAGAAAAATCGAAGGTCGGTCTCCACTAACGACCTACCGGGTACCATCTTCAAGCAGCGAAACAAGGACAAGGCGATTCGGAGAATTTCACCAGATGCAGAAGCGTTGGACCTCGCCGGTACCTCTTATGGCCACGCCACTCTCGCGGACGTCGGCGGCAGCGGTCGTCTGCTTCAACGTAATCTCAGTCTTGGACATGGAAATGGCAAGGCTCATCTACCGCCTCCAGAATTCAATATCAACGTGCCTTCGTCGGATCCCTCCAAGAAAGGTTTCCGCGACTCTACCATGCTAGACATCACATCTGGTCCTTCTTCAGACTCATTTCAACTGAACGCGCGTGATCCAACCATAGCTGAAATGGTTGCTGGCTCTTCAAGCCAGCCAAAGATGCGAGGCTCAACGAACCGCAAATTCAAGATGAGCACCTCACCAGATCCAGCTCGACCCCGCACTCGCGATCCTACCGCGCCTGATATCGTTGTGGGCCCATCGCCGTATTCCACGCCGCATCCCACTCGACCAATGATGGGGATGCTTAATCCCACCCGACCGCATATGCGCGACCCTACCGCGCCCGACATCATTGTGGGTTCTTCGCCGTATCCGGACGTGGCAATGCTTAATGCAGCTCTGGGCAATCTTGGTTTCGGGGCACCCCCTACTTGCATTCCAGGCCCTCGCCCTGCATTTAGGCATCCAGGAGCGCGTGCTCCACTGGACACCCCGAAGCCACAAGGAATTGGCATGAGGCCTCTTGCGGGGCTGAATATGCTGCCAAACGTTATGGAATTCGCTGAGCCTCCCCAGTGGTATCTCGACAGTCGTAAGGAGGCCGTAGACACCCCAAAGCCCCCGCCAGAATCTAGAATGACTTCGCCTGAATCAGGAGTGACCGCTACCGAGGAAGCGGAAGACAGGTATGTTCACCCTTGAAAACAGTACTTGCAAAAGGACGTTGACTAACTCACCTGCAGCGGTAACGACTACGAAGCAGCCTCTAATTCAAGCACCCTGAGCGAGCTCCCTGGAACGCAGTCGACTCCTCGAAGCGCCTACGACATGTCAAGGCGGCGCGGATTCATGGCCAACCAGCGCCCGATGTCGACGGTTGAGGAAGAGCAGAAGCGCAACTCAGACTCGACCAGACGGAGCTCCGTCGACTTGGCGTCGCTGGTGGCAAAAGCAGAGCACAAGCGCGTCAAATCAGAGCCCATGACGACGTCGCCGCTGCAGGAGACTACAGATGAGGACGAGGACGAGGACGATTTGGAGGAGGGGGAGGAGAGTTGTGCCTACCCAGACCGGTTTGACGACCCGCCACTGTCAGCCTACCACTTCTTCGATTCAGAGGGTGAGGTTGTTGCTGTTGAGGAGAGGGCCCTAGATCGGGAGGAGGATTAGGGGGATTTGGGGGCGGTGGTGGGGAGGTTGAGGGGTTTGTGTGCTGTTCTTTTACTGGCATTGCAGTAGCAGTATCGGTCTGATTTTGGCCCTCGAGAAACATGCTCGAGAGAAGTGGCCGAAACTGGGGCGATTAGTGAGTGGGTTCGGGAGTACGTTTGGAGAGTTGAAGTAGCCTAGTAGCTTTTAGCCCCCAAAAAAATAGACTAACAGTATACTTAATTTATGGTGCCCTTTAGGCATGTGAGACTTCGGGGTGGATACAAGGTGGATGGACAGTTACTTTTGATACTCCAATACCGCTGTCAGTGGTGTCTTAGCGTACTATGAACATAAACGGCAGGATGTAAAAATTTCGACCTCGTGAACCTGCTTAGTGTGTATATGCACCTTTATAACGCTGTCGGAGGCGCCCTAAAATGCTATGAAAAATCAAAAGGGGATGTAAAGTTTTCCACCTCGTGAAATAGCTTGGGGTATACGTAGTCCTTCACGACGCCGTCGGGAATGCCCTTACCCCAAAACGATGAGAGTAAAATGTAGAGTTTATTACAGCGCGATTTAGATCACATCCACTCATTGTTTTGCGCTCCTATGCAGCCTATCGGGCCACCTCAAGCCTATCCTACAAGTTCCATGCACGATGTAAAAGGCGCGAGGGCGGAGATCTCACACCATACAGAAATCATTATCCGCAATGTCCAATCTGCGCTCTTACAACCTTTACATCCTCGTCGAAAGAATTCGGTTAGGATGAGGTGGCCTAATAGACTACGTAGGTGCCTAACGCGATAACTAAACTGAAGTAAGGTGGCCTGCAACACAGTGCACAAGCGCTCGAGATAGCAATATTAATAGCGCCTAATTTACATTCCCACAATCTGTACATCTCGCTCTGGGTTTTATGCATAGGTGTGAGGTGGTCTGGAAGGCCGTCCGGGTCCCCAAAACTACTGATTGGCTTGAGTGGATTGAGTTGCGGTGCAATTCATATACCAAGGCTATAACCAATCTACCGGCTTGTAAACCGCACAGCGCAATTCGTATTGAGTTGATTCGTAGTTTTAGACACGTGAATAGCCTAGTGACAAACTTCCAGCCCAGGCGAAAGGAATCGGCGGAGATGTAAAGGTTGTGAGAGTGCAGATTGGACTTTTGATTGCCAGAATTGATATAGAATGTCCGTACTCATCTGAGGGGGCTTCCATTGACCTATGCAACTACATATGCAGCATCTATAATGCCAGTCTACCTCTCCGTGAGTCTTGAAGAAACAAATGCTGCCTGCGCCAACGCTGTCGTGCCTCCAATGTGCACGAAAAGCCGACGATGACGTAATAAGTCCGTCATATTGGCCGGTGAGTGAACGCCCTAACGCCATGCTATGAAATTAAAGACTTTATATTCAACCTTTTGAGTGTCTTGGTCGCTGTCCGAGCTCGTTGTCGTTACATCGTATCGTAGCAACCACCCATGACTGATGGTCAGACGTCCGTCTATCGCTTCTTAGGAGCCTTCTCATAGGCGTTCGGGGCGCGCTTGCGGGACGGAGCCTGGGAACGCTTAGGTGGGTTCCCTGAGGAGCCTTCGCCGTCGTGATCGTGGTCGTGGTGATGGTCGTGTGGCTTGCGACCCTGTGGCCGCCCTCCTCCGCGACGACCGCCTACCGGGCGAGCGGTGCTGTTGTCTGGCTCGCTGTCTGAGTCTGAGTCGGAGGAGTCGGAGGACGATTCATCTGAAGACTCGTCGTAGGGACGGGGCTTATGATACTGGCAGCAGACTGTATTGTGTTAGTTTTAGATAGATCACGCGAGCTGCTTTTCCATAATAGCGTCATAAGAAATATACCTTTAGAAGACTTCTTGCCCATGCCCTCGTTGTCGATGACATCTTCGGCCCACTGGATATGGCGCTCCTCCGCTGGCTCAGCTCGTAGACGAAGGGTTCCTGCGGGCAGGCGGAGGCGGAGGACAGGATCTGGGCGCGTTTGCACGGTGCTGCTAGCCGGAGTGCCAGTATTCTGGGCGGGTGCCATGGAGGTTGCCATTATGGAAGAGTAGGTGGTAGGATGGTGGAGGACCGTGGTTTGGATGGGGAGAGGTTGATGGCTGGTATCGAAAGTTCGTGAAAGTGGGACGGCGGGGAGGCAAGCGGGCTTTAATGGCGTGTGTAGATGTGGGTCGCTGCACGGTGAAGCTTTTGCGTGGCGTGTGAGGGATTACATTCAGTAGAAAAATGAAGTATCGACGCTGGATTTGCTGCCTTGATGTACGGCTTTGTGGTGTCTGGTGATTGATGGAGGGAGCCCGCCGGCCAGACACGCTAGCGATTTTGCGGGATGCTGTTAAAGGCGCCACTGGCAGGCTTCGTCGAACATAAAGTGGCAGTCTATTCTGAGGTGGCCCGAAGAGCTATCCGACGTCTCAGAATCGTCGTTTTCCGATTCACAGTGACATACCGGGAGGCCTGGAGTGGTGCTAGACAAGTCTACCATATTCTAAACCTAAAGTGGTGGGTGTATCTCTAAAATATTAAAAATGAGAAATATCATCACAGATTCCCAGACTGCCACTTTCTGAGCAGACTCTGCGCAGTGCTGCAGGTCGCCCTCTTCGCATCCCGCGCTGTGGGGGATGCATGCTGCACGAGACAAAATCTTTTCTACGCACCCGCTTGGTCGCCGCTTTCCTTTGTACCGGACCGTGGCCTGTGAACGTCATTCCGTGGTTTGGGGCCCTTCACGCTTCCATCCGATCTAGGCCCACAAACACGATCCAATCTCCCTCGAAGCGGCTATTTGCATTAGGCGCTGCTGAAATCGGGACGACGAGAAAGCCGGCGACATGCGGGGTGCGGAGAGATGCATGGATACGGTATCTCTAGGCATGTACCCGAGGTCTCTACCCCGTGTTATCCCTCACCTCCATGAATTTCGGAAGCAGGCTACAGGTGGTAGCTATCGTGGATTCCTTGATTCGGCATAGCACGTCGGGGTTTCGACGATGTCACTCTGTAGGTCTCTCACCGTGAAAGACTCCCGCGCTCACCTCCAGAAACAGTGGAGCTTTTGCTTCTTCATCACTTTGATCCTCTATAGAGATTCGCGGATTTTTCTGCTCAAACGTCAGGAAAGATCACATGTCAGAGCAAATCAAAGTCCACTTCTGAACGCAGGGTATCACCAATGAGGGCTAACACACGCTCGTGGAGGGATTGTTTGCGCAGCTGAGGTGTGGTCACGGAAGCCTTCTCGAAGTCCTCGATCTATCCCCTTGGGGCGCGAAGAAGCCCGGTGTTTTGTCTAATTTGATCAGCCGTAAATCCGAGGCTCTCTTCAGCCGGACATGCACGTGGTGAGATATACGATAAGCTGCCTTCCTCGATCTGTCCTGTATCAACCAGCAGCGGAAGCAAAACCAGAAAATCTGTCACTGAATTTGTGACTCTCAATCTAAAAGACCCTTCAAAAGACCTTCTTTCCTAGATGAACCCAATATTCTTCTTGAGCACCCGCAAACGAGGAGTCTGCGAAATCCTTTGAGCGCTGTTTCATATTCATATCTAAAATGCCGCGGGCTCGTATCGTTGGTATACTTCAGGGAAAGTTGTGGCTCAACTTTCAGAAGAGATGTAACTTTAGTATGGGCAAGAATGTAGGTGGCTCTGAATGTGCAGGATGGGCGGGCCAGACGCTCGGAGATTTTCTAAGATGGGTACTATGATGAAGGCCCCAGGTAAGAGTACATGTTTGTATATGGACTCTCATATAGGTATTTGCTTGGTATAATTGAGATGGGACGAGAGGTTTAGAACGAACACTACAAACGCAATCAATGCCATCAGATGCAAGAAGTGATCCAATACTTACAGCATATCATCACGTCCGGTGACCTAGTGCGGAAACCGAGTCGATCCCAGTAAATCACCTTTTCCGGGCTAATGTTGAACTAGCTTGAAGATTGATTGGCTAGGAGGCTGTTCTTCCGCCTTAAAGGTGTCCGCAAACGCTACCTTACACGGTAATTCTGTGGCTTAATTTTAGCGCTGGGTCACCGGCCGTGATTATATGCTGTAGTGCATCCTAATCACTGATTAGGATCCTTCTGTGGAGGAAAACAGGCATCTAACAGGCAGAATATCTCGGTGCCTGTTTAGGGCCTAGCGCTATATTTCTTGGCGTGCAGTGTTGGAAGACATCCACCGGCGTGTTGATTGCACCCCCAACAACACCACAGCCTCCACGCCTGTTCCTCACGCGTTTCGCAGAGTACAGGTCCGAGAGCACCTCTTCCTGCGCTTTCTCCCCGTGTTGCTCCTCGCTTCTGCGCTGCCCGCCTTTCACTTCCATCCGCGCTGCCCCACCACGTCGCCAGTTGAAGTCCTCCACGAGCCCCGACACCGCCATCGTCGTCCATACAAACTACGTCTACGGTTGCATGAGCACACCCTGAGGCTCTAGAGGGTGTGACAGCATCAATATCGAGGCTGTCTGGGCTCTGATCCCGCCGTCCATTCCGTCCCGCCATCAATATGTCGATGTCAATCGCGGAGTTGGACGCCACGGTGCGCGTCTTCTATGAAGGCAGGGGCGAGGCTGTGAGTCTATCCTCCATATCATCCTCAAATACAGAGCGCTAACATATCCTTCCTCCCCCAGCAAAAGCAGGCCCAGGCGACACTGAATCAGGTAGGCCTCCCCGCCGCCCACCCCCACCTCGCTCACCATCTAACACCTCGAATAGTTCAAAGAGAATCCCGATGCGTGGCTGTTGGTCGACAAAATACTACAGGATGCACAATACCCACAGACAAAATGTAAGGGGACTCCGAAGCAGGATTTGCGACGAGAAGGCTAACATCTGGCAGACTTGGGCTTGCAAGTTCTGGATAATGTTATCATGACACGATGGAAGGTCTTGCCTAGAGATCAGTGCCAAGGTATACACTAATATCCTGAGATCTGTTGACTTTTACTAATCACAGCTCTCGGCAGGCATTCGCAACTTCGTCGTCAACTTCATCATCCAGCTCTCCGGCACCGAAGAGGGCTTGCGCAACGAGCGTACACTTCTGAACAAGCTGAACCTCGTCCTCGTCTCCATTCTCAAGCAGGAGTGGCCCCATAACTGGCCGACCTTCATCAACGAAATCATATCCTCGTGCCACAGCAGCCTGCCTATCTGCGAGAATAACATGGCAATCCTTCGATTACTCTCGGAAGAAGTGTTTGACTATTCGGCCGACCAGCTGACCTCTTCGAAGACGAAGGAACTCAAACAGGGCATGAGCAATGAGTTCACGGCTATCTATCAGTTGTGCTCGGAAGTCCTTCGAACTGCGACGCAAGCCAGTCTGATCAAGGCAACTCTGGAGACACTGTTGCGCTTCCTCAACTGGATTCCATTGGGATACATCTTTGAGACACCACCTACCGGCATGAGTCTCATCGAGACACTGCGAAGTCGCTTCCTCGAGGTCCCGGACTTCCGCAACATCACGCTGAAGTGCCTGACAGAGATTGCCAGTCTTCATACTTCTCCCTCATATAACGAGAAGCTTGTTCAGATGTTCACAGAGACGCTGACTGCAATTTCCAAGATTATACCCCTTTCCATGGATTTGAAATCCACATACTCCTCTAGCAACAGTAGAGATCAGGAATTCGTTCAGAATCTCGCTCTGTTCCTGTGCAACTTCTTCACAATGCATCTAAATGTCATTGAGACTCTTCCCAATCGCGACTTCCTTACTCACGGCCACTTCTATCTCATTCGCATTAGCCAGATCGACGATAGAGAGATTTTTAAGATCTGCTTAGAGTACTGGACCAAGCTTGTCTCGGAACTTTATGATGAGATGCAGCAATTGCCAATCCAGGACATGAACCCGCTTCTCAACATGGGTATCGTTTCCAATGGTGGAGCCCGGGACCCTAGCATCCTTGCGAATTATCCCCTTCGCAAGCACAAGTACAACGAAGTCCTCACGAACTTGCGCCAAGTCATGATCGAAAAAATGGTGCGACCAGAGGAAGTCTTGATTGTGGAGAATGACGAAGGGGAGATCGTCCGGGAGTTTGTCAAAGAGAGTGACACCATCCAGCTCTACAAATCGACTCGAGAATGTCTGGTTTTCTTGACGCATCTGGACGTGAACGATACCGAGCAGATCATGTCCGAGAAACTGTCGAGGCAGGTCGATGGCACCGAGTGGTCATGGGCGAACTGCAACACTCTGTGCTGGGCCATTGGTTCAATTTCTGGTGCTATGAACGAGGAAACCGAAAAGAGATTCCTCGTCACAGTGATCAAGGACCTCCTCGGGCTTACCGAGATGAAGCGAGGAAAAGACAACAAGGCTGTTGTTGCCAGTAATATCATGTACATCGTTGGCCAGTACCCGCGTTTCCTCAAGGCCCACTGGAAATTTCTCAAGACCGTCGTCAACAAGCTTTTCGAGTTCATGCACGAGACGCACGAGGGTGTTCAGGATATGGCCTGCGACACATTCATCAAGATCGCCAACAAGTGCCGAAGACATTTCGTGGCCTTGCAACCAGGGGAGACCGAGCCGTTCATCGATGAGATAGTTCGGAACTTGACCAAGATCACTTGCGATCTGTCCCCGCAGCAGGTCCACACTTTCTACGAAGCCTGTGGCTTCATGATCAGCGCACAGGGCCAAAAGGGCATCCAAGAGCGATTGATCTCCGACCTAATGGCATTCCCGAACCGAGCTGTAAGTATTCCACCAGCTTTGTGCTTTAGTAGCATTACTAACGAATCCTATAGTGGGATAATATCATCGGTCAAGCCAATCAAGATCCGACCATCCTCCATGATGGCGAGATCATCAAAGTCATCGGAAACATCATGAAGACAAACGTGGCCGCCTGTAGCTCGATAGGCAGCTACTTCTATCCACAGATTGGCCGTATCTACCTGGACATGCTGACCATGTATCGCGCTAGCAGCAGTCTGATTGACGAGGCCGTTCAGCGGGAAGGTTTGTGTATACCAGAATCAATAGGAGATATAACAAATTTGGCTAACGAAGGACAGGAAATATTGCCACCAAGATGCCCAAAGTCCGCGGGCTACGGACTATCAAGAAAGAAATCTTGAAGCTCATCAACGTCTATGTCGAAAAGGCCGACGATCTGGAGATGGTGCACAACACTCTTGTGCCCAAGCTCTTGGAGGCTGTGCTACTCGACTATAAGCGAAATGTCCCCGATGCCCGCGAGGCTGAGGTCCTGAACGTTATGACTACCATCATCAACAAGTTACATGTACGTTGGAGACCCAATCTCAGCAAGCATATGGCCAAGCATATGGTTTGGCTCGCTTGAAAGTTATATAATGGAGATGCTAACATAGATACAGAGCCTCATGGAAGATCAGATCATGAACATCATGGACTGCGTCTTTGAGTGTACATTGGACATGATAAACAAGGACTTCTCGGAGTATCCGGAACACCGCGTCGAATTCTTCAAACTGTTGAGGACTATCAATTTGCGATGCTTCCCAGCTCTCTTGAGACTCGATGCGCGGTCTTTCAAATTCGTCATCGATTCTTGCATGTGGGCCAGCAAACATGACAACCGAGAGGTTGAGGGCGCTGGACTGAGCATGTGCTTCGAACTGATCACCAACATGTCGGAGACGGACCCCCAAACCTGCAACACATTCTTCCAGAACTTCTACACGACCATTCTCCAGGATGTATTCTTCGTGCTCACGGACAGTGACCACAAGGCTGGCTTTAAGTCGCAATCAATGCTGCTGGCCAAAATGTTCTGGCTAGTGGACTCTGGGAAGTTGCAGGGACCGATCTATACCGAAAACATGGCACCGGCTGGGACGCCGAACAAGGAGTTCTTGAAAAACTTCGTTGGCAACCTGCTTGCCAATGCATTCCCAAATCTACAAGCGTAAGTCAATCTTAATGCCTGATCGATGAAACAGACTGACATGATCTTAGGGCGCAAATCGCTACCTTCATCGATGCGCTGTTCGACTCTAACAACGACATCAACAAGTTCAAGCTCGTGCTTCGAGACTTCTTGATCTCGCTGAAGGAATTCTCTGGCGACAACGCCGAGTTGTTCTCCGAGGAACGAGAGCAAGCGCTCAACAAAGCGAAGGAGGAGGAGCGAGAACGAGCGATGAAGGTTGGCGGTCTGCTGAAGCCGTCGGAGATGGAGGACGACGACGAGTTGTGACTGAATGAGGAGCTGAACACGGAGGCTGCACTGCGCACACCGTGGGACAAAACAAATCATTACCCCGAGTCGGCCACAGAAGGAGCTAGCAATAAAACGGATCCAGGGGACATCGATGGATGGTATGGCCTCTGAAGAGGCACACTTTTGACTCAGACCATTGTCAGTCTCGTGCTTTCATTGGACCATATGGTGCATTGGCGAGGGATTTGGGCTTGGCGGGTTGCTAGCATAGTCTCTGTTGAAAAGCGTCGTGTGGGAGATGCTCGATATCCTGTGTAGTAGCGAGACTTTGGTCGGTGAATAGAATAGCCTGAAATACAAACAATGCTTCATATGCACTGCGATTCAGATACCCGGGCTTAGAATCAGTGAATGTGGTTTTGGCTACGGCGCGGTCCGTAGTGCTCCGCATCGAAGGATTTGGCACGCCACATCTGCTGAAGAGGGTGTGAGGCTGAATTCCGGGATGGAGAGAGGTTGAGATAAGGTAGACCCATGGATCAAAAAGCGACTACGACATGATCACGTGCCACATTCTGAGGCGAGAACTGAGTAAAAGCGCGGATGGCTCTACTGCATCTCTCCCGACGGCTGCCGCTGCGAGGAGCGCGCCGCCGCAATATCCAGGCATTCCGGTGCCGTAATTGCCCGTCACAGCCAGGTGGGTGTCTCCCCAATGCCCGCTGAAGCTGAAGCGGCAGATCCACGTGTTTTTTGCTCTGCTGCAATTGGCTGCCGGCATAGCAAAAACCACCACTATCATGCCAGGCTCACAGCCCTCTCTTGCAGAACAAGCATCCCCGAAGCGGCAGACTCTATCGTCGACCTTGCCCGAGGTCGCTCTGCCCCTCATCGGTCACCTATCCGACGCCTGCAACGATAGATATTGGCCGCTGCACGACCAGACGGAATTCCATTAGTTCTACCACTTTATATCCATCGACTTTCGTCCCAGCACTCTGTCATTGCCGCCGCCATCCCGCCCTGTCCCATCTCTCGCCTCACCGATCGTGCTGATCGTCCTATAGGCGTCTTCCCAGGCCCACATTGCGCGCCCTCCTACGTCGTATGGTCGAGGTGCATGCCTCCGCTTCTGCACTCCTCGCTTGTCCCACTTGTATGTAGGGGCTCTTCTGGAGCGCTGTCCGCTCGTTTCCTTGCACTATGTAAGTCTGCTCTTATGGACTCTCCGAGAGTCCCCGTTGCCGGTTTACGCAAGACCTTGTCGTCGACTAGTCTCGGGTCCAAGTCTGACAAGACTGACGAGCCCCGATTTCACAGGAAGTTTGGCAAGCATATTCAAAAGCGGCAGCTCGAGATCCCCGAATATGCCGCTAGCTTCGTCGACTACAAGGCTCTAAAAAAGGTACTGTTTGCATTTTGCTCACCTTTAGATGCTTCTACTAATGCTTTAACCAGCTTATCAAGAAGTTGAGCGCAACCCCGGTTCTTCCTGCACAGAATGATAGCAATCGTTTGGGAGATGGCCTTGACCCTCAGGCCGCATTACAAGCCAACAAGGCCACGTTCTTCTTTCGAGTGGTATGTGGGACTTTTGGCATGACTCGGCACCCCCTAATATGGATCATAGGAGCGAGAGCTCGAGAAAGTCAACATTTTCTACCTACAAAAGGAGGCAGAGGTATTCACAATTCGAAAGCCCGTCTGATCCGTACTGATAGCCTATACAGCTGCGGCTGCGATTGGCAACGTTGCTAGACAAGAAGCGAAACATGCAAGCTCATCCCTCAACAGTGTCCAAAGTGTCCTCGAAATACATAGCACTCGAAGAGGGCTTGAAGCAGTTCAGCATGGATCTGAATAAGCTCCAGGTGATTCTGATCATCATCATCATCATCAACGCGTAAGCACTGACGGTAGCAGCAATTTGTCGAGGTCAACGCTACGGCCTTCTCGAAGATATTGAAAAAGGTCCGCTCAATGCCTGCTACTATCGTCTTAAGATTGCTAACACTCTTTAGTGGGACAAAACATCCAAGGTCGGCCATCACTCTCTTTGGACGCAACTCCGGCTGACCCCAATGCCAGTCGCGCGAGAAGCAACTCTATCTATCGCGTGCTGTTGAGGTGCAGCCTTGTTTCAATCGCGACGTTATCAGCAGCCTATCCGATCAAGCGACCCAAGCTCTGTTGGACTTCTCAGGATGGGCAGAAGGCGACAAGATGCAATACCCAACGTCGATAACCCAGCCACCAGCCGACACATCTCAGGATGGCGATATGGAGCTAGATAATCAGATGACCCAAGCGATCACCACTGCTAACACGGCGAAAATAGAAGAGTGTTTGGCCAGGATCTTCTCCTTGGTTGACGCGCAGGAACGGATATCCAGAGCTTTCTTGAGCACCATCGAAGATGCCCCTGAAAATGCCTTGCAACTCATGCTGGACACCAATCGTGTGAACCTCAACCAAGAAGACGAAATCAACGAAAGGAATTGTCTCCACAAAGCAGCCATCTGCGGGCGAGGCGCGGTCCTCCGGATCGGATTGTCCGCACATGTCAATGTCAAGGCATTAGATGTCTACGGGAGAATACCGTTGCACTATGCTTGCATGCATGGTCATGTTGAGTTGGTCCAGGAACTAATCAATGCAGCTCCTGACACCGTCAATTTCAAGGATCAGGACAATTTTACGCCTTTGATTCATGCGATCGTCCACTCTCAACTCGATTGCGTTCAGACCCTTCTTTCTAATGGGGCACAGATCAAACAGCTGGGTCCATCGGAGCACATACCCTTGAATCTTGCATGCCAACATGGCTCCATACCCATTGTCGAGCTCCTTCTTCAAGCACATGCTGAGATGCTTCCCGATGCTGAAGGCCTCTATCCTCAACATCTAGTCGCGAGATCTGGGAAGGACCCCGAGATGCTTCTACTGCTGCAAAAGTACGGTGCAGATCTCGACCAACCCGATAAGCTATACCAGTGGACGCCTCTCTTTCATGCCGCCAGCGAAGGTCATGTCGAATGTCTCAGAGTACTCTTAGTATGTGGGGTTAGCGTGGATATTGTGGACGAGAAGGGCTTGTCTGCGATGTACTACGCCACGTGGGAAGGCCACTTTGAGTGCATGAAAATGCTTGCCTCTGTTGGAAGAGGAGTTGGCCTTGCTACACCGAAGCAGGTGTCACCGCAGATTCTAACTACAGGCCAATCCACCACTGGTCCAGGTCCTATGGATCTCGGAGAAGGAGAAGGTATTCCGGAATTCATTCTTCCACCACCTATAATCCCACTGAGACGTTATGGCCACAATTTCCTGGATACCAAGACCTTTGTGGTGATAAGCTTTGAGAATCTGGGCGCGGATGCCCTTCAGTTCTACGACGACCATAAATATCCGGCCGCTCGCCTCACCATTTCCTCGAAATCCTCAGACCTCATCCCACGAAACATTATGTTACCAATCCAAGACGAGTTCAAGGTCATTTCGTTCCAGATTGAGAACCTCGATACCTTTGCCATTGACTTCGATGTATACCCAACCTTCGGCTCCAAGGTCATTGCGCGCAGCGTCGCCTCCTCGAAGATATTCACAAACGAATCAAGCAGCTCAGGGCAATGGCATCTTGAGCTTTTCGACCCTCGGCTCCGTGCTATTGGGCGACTAAGTTTCGACTTCCAGGTCGTAAAACCCTTCCACGGCATACCCCTCGAAATCACACACTTTGCAACCTACTGGAAAGCAACCAGTCAATCCGACTCCCATCCAACAGCCCTCATCACTGGATCGAGCTTATCAGGCGAATATGCTCGCCTATTCGTTCAGTTGACGAGTGATGGCGTTCCAGTACTTTATCCGCAATGGAAGATTACGTACCAAGGTCTCGATGTCCCTGTCAATATTCTCACCTACGATCAATTCGCCAACATTGGAGCTTCACAGAACGCTTCTAGCTCCATGGCAGCATCGACCCTACAGAACACTCATGGAGCCAATGTCTCTCAAATTCATCAAATCCTAGCTACGTCGTTCATGACGCTCCGTGAAGCTCTCGCCATACTTCCTGCACATATCCATGTCGAGCTGCATGTCCTGTACCCAAGCCGGAGGGAGGAGGAAAGCTTGCGATTAGGTCCAACGCCTAATATCAACGACTTTGCGGATGCGCTGCTATCGATCGTGTTCGAGCACGCGAGGCATCTAAGGGGCCAGAAAAACGGATTTCTGAGGTCGATTGTGTTCTCGAGCTTCAATCAGGACATCTGCACGGCACTGAATTGGAAGCAACCGAACTGTAAGTCAGCCCCTCATGTGATCTCGTGAAAGCGGAGCTAATGCTCGACAGACCCCGTTCTCCTCTGTAACGAACTTGGTGCCGACGCGCCTAGCTCGACTAGCGATCCCTATAAAGTAAGGAGCAGCGGTCGCACCACGATCTCGGTTAAAGAGGCCGTGCAGATTGCGAGAGACAATAATTTCATGGGCTTGATCTGTAGCTCGAGATTACTGGTAGGCCATCACTCCGCCACACTTCCCATACAAAACCGTTAACACAGCGTAGGACCTTGCTCCCGCCCTGATCGAATCAATCAAAACCGCCGGCCTCGTTCTTATCACCGACATCTCGGATGCGAACACGCGCCAGCGCGGCTCCCTCGCCGTCGCCGCGCCGTCGTCATATCAGGTGCCCCAGGGCGTGGATGGGTTCTTGAAGGGGAATGGCGTGCTGAGGTTCAATGAAACAATTGATATGTAAGGTTTGAGATGCGAGAGTGGGATAAAAGTATATGAATGGTGGCGCATGATCATCCTGGTTTCGAATAAAAAGTGAATTTGGTCGCGCTAGATCTGGAATAGAATGGGCTGTGCAGGATATCAGAATATGTATGGCTGCGTGGGTGGTCATCTGACTATAGTGTGCTGCAGTATTTCCCATAGGGGCGAATGGGTTTACAGCATATCAATCTCAGCAACGTCTGATCCTTATGTGGGGAAGGATGAGCTAGCCGTCGAGGTGTTCGCAATCAAGTCCTTGTAAGTACGGACACCACATAGACCTGATGCCCGGCCGACTCGAAGAAACAGTTGTAGCGCTCGACGATGACACCACCGATAGAACGCCTTGGCTTGGTCCTCGCTACTTTTGCTCAGCCAACCCTCTCGCGTCTCCAAGACTTTATTGTGGATATACTGTTTGCGCATGGTCAGATACATACATACGAAGAATATACGTGTTTATCTTTCGAAGTATGGCGATTGCACCCATATTGCTTGCGACCTTCTTTCTATCTAGTTGGTCGTGGAAGGGGCAATAAGAATGGCCGCAATCTTTGAAGAAAAGCCCAATATATTCGCTACCTCCCTGTTCACAAAGCACCTATAATGGCGTTGGCGGCGGCAAAAATCATCGCTAATGCACCTACGAGCGCACCATCAATCGCTGACCCAACCCCAATCAGAGCCTCCTCCACAGAGCGCGAGAGAGATTGTCCACAGTATCCGCAATTGGCTTTGTGAGGTTGTGCTTGTTCATACCCAGAAAAGTAATGAGTATTCTTGCAATTGGTACCTTGAACGCTACGCAGATTTCTGGAATGCTCAGCCAGCAATTGCTCTTTGACGGAGGGTCCAAGATGTTTCTTACAGGATGCGCAAACAGCCAGGTGAGGCTGTCGTCGTTCGTACAAGGGCACGTAGGGAAGCTCGTCGCAGTTGAGACATCTCACATAGTGCAGCTCTATGGATCGCGGGAGGTGGTTTCCACAGGACCGGCGTAGACTCTTACGAGGATCTGTTCGTTCGCGTGGCTGTAGATAATGAGCCGCTCCGCATTTGAGGCATGCAGTCACGATCTCGAGAACAGAAGAGGCGAGAGAGCTTGAACAGTATGCGCAGATAGCTTTGTGAGGCTGTGACCGTTCGTAATATTGCATGGAGTGAGTTCCACCGCAATTGACGCAGACGACCTGGTCGGGCTCTACAAATTGTAACTCAGCGCGAACATATATAGCTTGGTAATACTGGAGGACGTCAGCTTATTTCTCGCGCGACGAGAAAAATAGACCGCATTATAATAGTACCTTTGCAGTGGAGGAACCCATCATAATCAAGCGTACTTCTTTTAGACTGCGGGTCGCGCCTGTTGAGGGTGAGTAGCACAAAAACGGGCCAGTGAAGCTTGGCTGCAGCGATGGGATAGCTTGATTGATGATGATGAACTGGATGAGATCCCCGTGGTCAGAACTGAGTAGATAAGGCCTCTCATCGGGCGGTCTGGAGGATACGAGGTTGCCGATTGGGCAACCAGTTGCCTTAATCGGGCTCATCTGCAGAGCCAGCTGAGCGGTTCCCGTCTCCCGCACCCTCCCCATACAATATTGTAGGCCTGCCAGGCCGAACCAAGCCCAAACTTCGCTCTCCTAGAACACATCATAGAGCACCTGCACCACGTAGATGTGGTATGTAGTTGCACCCGCGATGAAGGCCGCGGCGAGTTTCAGGATTTCAGATCTTGGTATCTTGTACTTGCAGTTTTTCAACAAGCTGGAGACATCCTTCATGAAAGGCGACTGGAAACTCGCGGAATATGTCAAAGCTAGCATACTTCAGCCTACGGTCAAACAGTACTTCGAGGCCAACCCAAAGAAGACGCCGTACATGATCATTGGGTTCAAAGTCGCTAGAGGCGCCGAAAATATCAGGAAGAAACTGCGCGAAGGTGGTGCAGACGCATCTGTTGGAATTGATGGAACCATGGTTGGCATTCCGGTCTCAGGAGGTCCCAAAGCTGGTTTCAGCAACACCAATTCCAATTCAGTGGGATTTGGCGGGTCTTCGGACTTCGTATTTGCGCATCGTGTGCGGAAAATAAAGATCAACTGGAAGACCATGGATATTGAAAGTGAAGATTACATTCGTGGAGCAGCATATCATGAAGGAGTAGAAACGTAGTCTACCTTGGACGAGGAGACTGCTCCGGCGGAGATCGAGTCGGCAGAGCTAGATGAAGCCGACTTTGGTATTGCCATGAATGTAGATAGCATCCCCTTGGATTGGGCCGTGGCCACGGTCAGAGACGAGCTGGACGATGGCTATTGCTTGGTAGTAAAGATTGAAACTTAGTCGCCCGTCGCCGAACCCGGAATCATCTCTGAAACCACCGACCAGGAGTATATCTGTCTCAATTTCATGGAGAACACTCCAGAGATCGCAGTTTTTACGTCTGGGTCCAAAAGGGTTTCGGGAAGAATGTACTGATATACATCTTTAAGATCGCGGTCAATCATGCTGATGAGCATCTGTCTCATGCCTCCAAAATTCTCTAACATCTTGTAATTTCGGAATTGAGTGCGGTGAATTCTTTTCCAATATATGAGTTGGGCCACGACTGCCGCTGCCACAGGTGTTGCAACTGATGTTCCCGATGCTCTCTTCTACGGTGCACCTTCTTCTACTATGAGATCCAATTCGTCTTGCTTCGCGTCTCCTTTCGCGTCTTTTGACCAAGTTGATTTCACTTCTTCTCCAAGAATTGAGAAATTGTCTTTACTGGATGTTGCAGGTGGGTTGAATTCGTGTGGAGTGCCAGCATAGTTCGCAGCATTGACACAGATGACCAGACCAAGATGGCTGGCAGGATAGGTCACGTTCCCGATTTTGGAATTGCCATTGTTTGAGGCTGCAGCTACTAGAATACGGTCTTTGGAATAAGCATAGATGATAGCTTCCTTTACATCTGTGGGGATGCTGGAGAAGCCAAGGGACATGGAAATGACATCCACTCCCCAAACGTCCACGGCATAACGAATTGCCTTAAAGGTGATTAGACTGTATATGTACATTTGAGGGATAATTGCTGACATACCTCTGCAATCCTAGCGGTACATTCGGGGTCAGTTCTTTTGTCGAAGGTCCTGTCAAGGGACACTCGACCAACGTGAAGCTCAGCGTTCGGAGCAAGTTGAAGAACAATCCCGGCAACATGAGTTCCATGACCGCATGTGTCTGTCCCATTCTTGGTAAGAGGAGGGTCGGCCGTGAAATCCATGTATCCATCATCAGTAAGTTTACGGGGAAGCCCGTTCTCCCCTCGAGCACCCCACTTAGGGCGAATCCAATGTTCCTTGATGAAGGGGTGCGAAGAATCGATCCCGCTGTCTAGGACGGCAACCTTGACCTTCCTGATGTCCTCAGGTGCGTTCCTGAAAAGCTTTTGATATCTTGCGTGGAAGTCATTGATGAAATTGTCAGTGGCTAGGTTTCTTTTTCGATTAGCAAAAGATTTTACGGATGCAAGATACAGGAAAACATACTCTTTTTGATCAGACCGTACAGTTGGTTCGTCAAAAAGAGCGCCTTCAAATGGCTCGGCACCACTTGACAGTGCGCTCTTTATGGATTCTGTTTTGAGGGACGGAGATTTTGCCTGCGATTCTGCCTCGAAAGTATCTGAAATTGTCTCGCTTGGAATGGCCAGTGGATCGACCGAGCCGGAGATTGAATCCCCACGTGCTCCCTCAGCCCCGTGTGGATTACTAGATGCGAGTGAGTTTGCGCAAGCAATTAGACTGGCCGCAGTCTCTGAGTTAGTAAGGTAGTGCCGTGTAAGTGATAGAAGCCTCTCGAATGCAACTGGAGTCCACTCGTGCTGGTACGTGGTGGAGGCAAATTCGGTAGGCAGCGTAAACCGGGAGTATAGAAACCCGGCAGCTCTAGAAAACCTGAAAAGCTCTGTTGCTGTATGCTCTGGATCGGTGATCATGTGAGTTGTAACTCTCACCAAGCCCATCGTTGCTTTGGGCGAAGGATAGCCCAGCCATCGTGGGCGCCCTCCTGCGAAAGCACTATCTCTCAGCTCTCGTATTCCTGAACTAATGCTGACAAAAGAATAGACTTTCGAAGAGCTCCAGATCGATGCTGTTTCATCCAAGGCCTCTAACGCCGGGTTGCTAAACCCTGATATAGCTGCGCTGACACATAGCATTGAGTCTATGCGTACACCCCGAGTACGCATCGGGGTAGCGATGGAAGCCAAAGCCGCTTGCAAGATGGTGCATCCACTAACGATCGCCTTTCCGTTGGTTTTGGAGGTATAGCTACGGAGCCTCTCTGGAGTTCCCAAGTTCTCAAGATCAGTGACTAGTATGACGGTATGGCACACATGGTCCTGATCAAGTTGCGCCTCATATAGAGGTTTCCTCTGCAAAACAAATAGTGCTTTCAAGGCCTTCTCGCATCGGTAGGACGTAGAGAAATCGCGAGACTCTCAAAACTATGGCGTGTAGCGGAACGCATTTTGTTGAAACCAAAGTATGCATTCGTTGATCGTCTGGTTGCAGCATGGTGAGTAGAGCAACGTCAAATGATAAAGGCAAAGAGTCTACCATTCTCAACCTGCCAAGCATCAGAGCGATGATAGCCCCCCATTCCGTCCCACATATTAGATCAAAGTGATAGTAAGGCCTAGAGTCTACTAAGGGATGCTCCTGGTGATCCCATTTGATGTGTTGAATAAGCTCTTCTAGAATCACCAAGGCGGACAGACACCGTGCACTTCCCCCGTCAAGCGATAGCACCCGTATTGATGGAGTGAGCATAACAGACATTTCTGTTGACGAGACCCTTGACTAGGCCTATAAGCTTCCAGAGCCTACCAATGGTAGCCGCGGGGCACTTACGTCGATTCGACGAATGGTAGAAGTCATTCCTACAACGACAAGAAGCCGACGGGTGATTGCTGATTCTGTAACAGGATGGGATGCCCCACGCTATATGAGCCAGAAAGGAGTATGATACTTGCATGATGGAAAGAGGTTCGTGGAGACGACCAGGCTGAAAAGTGCCCATCTCGTGAGGCTGAGCGGGGGAAAAGCAGCGCCTTGCAAAACGGCCCTATTCGTCCCCCTTCAGAAACGCAGACATCGTTAGAACAGAGCCATGTGGGCATGTACACGCCCCTGAGACAGGAGGCGTTCTACACATTAAACCGTCCGAAGTCAACGTACTCGGAAGATAGCTTGAATACAACGGATAGACGTCTCTCTATATATTATAAAACATGTCCTGTGGTTGGCTACAGCTTCCAGGCTTCCCTGGCTAGCCTTCCTGCCGACATCGCACCCGAGAACTTTTTGTGGATAGCCTCACCTCCGCTGCCTCACACGACCTCCGCCAACCTTCCTAACGATGCGGGTGCAGGCTCTCCAGGCAGGGCGGCCCCTTAATTTCGGGGTGAGTGACCTCTCCGCTCTGCACTGGTGCTCATATCAAGCGCGTCGGGCTTTCGTCGAAGCAAGCCTCAGATGATTCAATCGAACCACATTCTCCATTAACAGATGGAACCTCTCTCTGTGAACCATATCTGATCTTACTAATAGGTCTGCCAACGCGCCTTTACACGACCCTCCAAGATCTTGAGCAGGCGACATCTGGCCACCGCCCACTCTGGCATACCCCACCCCCACATAGACATTGCCTCCCGAACACCTCTATACCAAAAGCTCGTCAAGAAGCTACACGAAGTCCGAAAGGTGCTTGGGCACAGCAGGCAATTGACCCTCGCCGAGAAGATTCTGTACTCGCATCTGGATAATCCTGAAGAGTCACTCCTCACGAACACCCAGAATGGCGCGAACATTAGGGGCACGGCAAATCTCAAGCTCAAGCCAGACCGAGTGGCTATGCAGGATGCATCGGCTCAGATGGCATTACTACAGTTCATGTCCTGTGGACTACCTTCGACAGCAGTCCCTGCAAGCATACATTGCGATCACATGATTGTTGGAGAAAAGGGTGCAGATACAGATTTGCCGGCTTCGATTAAGGGAAACAAGGAAGTCTTTGACTTTCTGGAGTCCGCGGCAAAGAAATATGGGATCGAGTTCTGGCCTCCTGGAGCGGGTATCATCCATCAGAGTGTGTTGGAAAACTACTCGGCCCCTGGATTGATGATGCTAGGAACGGATAGCCATACTCCCAATGCAGGTGGTCTGGGTGCAATTGCCATCGGTGTTGGTGGAGCTGATGCTGTAGATGCGCTCGTGGATGCCCCATGGGAATTGAAGGCTCCCAAGATACTAGGCGTTGAGCTTGTTGGAGAACTCAGCGGATGGTCGTCACCTAAGGATGTGATCATGTACCTAGCTGGCCAACTAACCGTGAGAGTAAGTATTACGTCAATTGCAGCGCTGAAGTAACTTCTAATGGTGATTTAGGGTGGCACTGGATACGTGATCGAATACTTCGGACCTGGCGTCGAAACGCTCAGCTGCACCGGAATGGCCACAATATGTAACATGGGCGCTGAAGTTGGCGCAACAACCTCTCTGTTCCCGTTTTCCGCGCAACACGTGCCCTACTTGGTGGCTACTCATCGCGAACCCATTGCTAGAGCGGCACAAGCCATTGCATCAGCACCTTCTGTCCAGAACCTTCTGCGTGCTGACCCTGATGCTCAATACGACAAGGTCATCGCAATTGATCTCTCAACGCTCGAACCGCACATCAATGGTCCCATGACACCCGACCTCTCAACTCCCCTGTCCAAATTCGCATCAGTAGTTGAGGAATACAACTGGCCAAGAACGTTTGGTGCGGGTCTCATAGGCAGCTGCACAAACAGCTCGTATCAAGACATGACCCGAGCTGAAGATCTTGTTAAACAAGCATCAGCAGCGGGTCTCTCTCCCAAGGCTGACTTCTTCATAACGCCAGGTAGTGAGCAGATCCGTGCAACTCTGGATCGAGATGATACCCTTTCGACTTTTTCTTCTGCAGGTGGAACTATTCTCGCTAATGCGTGTGGCCCTTGCATTGGACAATGGAAGCGGACTGACGGCGTGAAGAAAGGCGAATCAAATGCTATCTTCACCTCGTATAACCGCAACTTCCGAGGTCGCAATGACGGTAATCCGTTGACGATGAATTTCCTCGCGTCTCCTGAGCTCGTCACTGCCATGTCTTACGCGGGCTCAACTACATTCAATCCAATCACGGACACTCTCCCCACACCATCAGGCACACCGTTCCGTTTCTCCCCTCCCAAAGGCTCTGATCTTCCAGCGGCAGGTTTCGCAGAAGGGAACCCGGAGTTCTTCGCTACGCCGGGCGTACCAACTCCCTCCGAGGAAGTTAAGGTGGACCCCTCCTCAACCCGCCTTGCGCTTCTAGACCCATTCCCGCCGTTCCCTAATTCCGAACTCGCCGGCCTTCGTGTTCTTTACAAGGTGAAGGGCCAATGCACAACAGATACCATCTCAGCCGCAGGTCCATGGCTCAAGTACAAAGGCCATCTCCCCAACATATCGGAAAATACCCTTATTGGGGCCATCAATGCTGCCACCGACGAAGTCAACACGGCCTACGACGTGGACGGCACTACATCCGGCATTCCAGATCTCGCAAAGCGCTGGCGCGACGCTGGAATTGAATGGCTAGTCGTCGCTGAGCACAACTACGGCGAGGGTAGTGCACGTGAACACGCCGCGCTGCAACCGCGCTACCTAGGCGGTCGCGTTATTCTCGCGAAGTCGTTTGCACGCATCCATGAGACGAATCTGAAGAAGCAGGGTGTGGTGCCCCTTATTTTTGTCAATGAGACAGACTACGATCTCATCGACGCATGCGATGATGTTACCACAGTGGGCTTGCTAGATGTGCTGAAGAGCGGCGGGAAGGGCAGTGTGGAGCTACTTGTTAAGAAGAAGGGGGGTAGCGAGGTGAGGGTGCAGACCAAGCACACACTGAGTGGCGATCAATGTGGGTTTATTATTGCAGGGAGCGCGCTGAACCTGCTAGCTATGAAAGGCAAGGAGGGGAGAGAAGAGGTCACAAGAGAGAATGAATTGACCGATTAGATACCTGGCTCCTAATTTACGAGGTTGTAAACGTTACATTCTGTCTTGAATTAAATAAGTAGGCTGGAGGACTTCAGACGGCGCTATTACACCGGCAAAGTGCCTAAGCACAGCACCTGATTCTATCGTGCTAGCAGTATGTATAGATATCAGGCTGTAGATCTCACCATTGAGTCCTTCAGATAATAGTCGTTGATGAGAGGCTTCAACAGTACAAAAATAACTCCTCGCGGGCCTATCTAATTCCAGAGGTCGTAAACATTACACCCTATCCTGAATGAAAGCAATAGGCTGGAGAACCTCTAACGGTAGCATCGCACCGGCAAAGCGCCTAGTTCTATGAGGTCAGCAGGACGAATAGCTCTGAAGCTCTAAATACGGTACACCGAGCTCTTGCATTGCAGCCCTTCATAAGGAGTTGAAGCGCTTCAGCACCGTATCCACGGTCGCAGTTCGAAGATACACACCTCACGATTTGAAGAGAAAAATATGATGTTCAAGTGTACAATTCGATCTATATGGCCTATCCAGAAGGCCGAGTCATGGGCTGCTAATCAGCCGGGGGTATAGCAGACTTTTTTACGAGTGCAAAGCACTCCCAGAGGTGCTCCAAATCATGCCCTACTACGCCAAAAGTGAAACAAGAACCAAAAGAATTAGATTGCTACTCGGACTACCATCTACATCATGTTCTGCACGTTACGTGCATGCTTCGCCTCCGCCTCCCCCCTCTCCTTCTCCAACTTCTCCAACAAGTACGACCACGACTGGGTCGTGGGGGCCTTTGCGATGTTTAGGGACTTCTTGTAACTTGGGCAAAGAACCAGAACTTCTGGGGCCATTGGGGGGACCATTTCCCCCGCCCGGAGGGAAAATTCCTCCTTTCGCTCCTTCTTCAACCGTGCGTTCTCGTCACGGACCCTCCGTGCCTCCTCCTTCTCGAACTTCTCCACCTTCAAGGCAAACTCTTCCCTCTCTGCGGCCAACTTCTGCTTCTCCTTGAAGTACAGCTTCTTCTCGTCCACCGAGGCGGTGTTGAGGTCCGGGAACGTGGCCAAGAAGGCCTCAATGGCATTTTTTAGCTCCGTGACGTGGTAGATGCTGGTCGTGAAGCGCTCCGTGGCTGGCCCGGCCTTGGTATAGTTCTTCCAAGAGTCCCTAGTTCCGGATGTGACGCACTTCAGAAGTTCGAGTGCAAGGGCGACGTGTGCTGCTCCTAGCCTCTCCTTGATAGTATTGAGGGCGTCCTGGTGCTATAAGACGAATTAGTATCATTTTTAGCTACTCAGAGCCGAAGAAACATACCATAACGAGTTCTGTGCTCATGTGAGCCTGGCACAAACGCTTACAAAAGGCCCAGTAGGTCTTCCTCGCGAGCTTGTCTCCACACCCTGCAACCTGGCAGCCCGTACGATTGCTGAGGAGGTTGGCATACTCTTCTTCAGTGAGACCCGGAAGAGGGTCTGGAATCTCGTTGCCGTACGTGTTGACTCGGCTATCTCGCCACACTACGGTGTGGTTGACTAGCAGCGGCCGAAAGTACTGCATATCGCGACAGGTAAGCAGCGTATTGGGATGACTCCATCCAAAGACGTTGTTCCATATGCACGGCGGCACTCTGGTCCTGACAGGGTTGCTAACACGGAGCTTAGTCGGTCGGGGGTTGGCGTCTTGCGTGTCTTTCGGCTCGGAGCGCTTGCGCTTCTTCGAGGCGGCCACTTTGGGTGCCTTGTGCTGGATATTGCTGAAGGATTGTAGAGGATCAACAGTTTGAGTGGGCTGAGGAGGGAGAGTCGGTTCGGCGGACTGGGTCGCGGTGACAGGGTAAACGGGCTGAACTTGCTGGGAGATGGAGTCGGGGACAGGCTGGCGGGTCGGGTCAGAATGCTGTTGAGCGGAAGTAGTGGCTTGGTCGGCAGAGTCGGATGAGCGTGAGGACCAGGATGGGACGGAAAGTGGACGTGCAGGAGGGATGGGCTGGTGTGTCTGGCCAAAGTGCTGCTGAGCAGGAGGAGAGGGCTGGCGGGTAGAGTTGAGAGACTGGCGGATTGGGCCGAGGGACTGTTGCACGTTCTGAAACGGCGGGCGTGTCTGGCCAAATTGCTGCTGAGCAGGAGGGGTGGGTCGATGCAAAGAGTCGGGAGACTGTCGTATCGGATTGAGGGACAGTTGGGCTGCTTGAAAGGGTTGGTGTGTCTGGCCAAATTGGTGCTGCCCAGGAGGGATGGGTCGATGCAAAGAGTCGGGAGACTGTCGTATCGGAT